ATATATATATATATATATATAAGCACAGTGAAAAAAGTCTCCTTTTTCAAACAATACATCATAGAAATTCCTACAATATTAATTCAGATTGGAACAATCATGTAAATCGTTAAACACAGAGAAACGAAAAGGTAATTACGAGAACGAGGATACCTTATACCGTTTCTCGTTAGATTATTTCAAGGGTTAACGCGCACAATACTCTCCAAACGGCAGCCGCATATGTACACAACGTTGCACCGGGAGACCGCACGGCGATCTTGGTTCATTATCGCGACTGCTCGCGAGGCGAACTTAGACCGCGAGTTCCATAATTGCTCCCTGCGAAGTGTTACATCCGCGTGCGCGCGAAAACAAACCGAATTGAGTAAGGCGTTCGTGACCGGCGAAAGTTTGCATTAATGATATTACGCCCCGTGTGCTCGTGTAAACAAGTTTCTGTCGAGTGGTGTATATATACAATAGGTGAGCATTTTCAAAAGGTAGTCTTTCGCGGAAATTAAACTGCACGATCAGATCAGACTCGGCGCCCCATAAAAGGTAAAATTATACGCGTAATATCACAACAGGGCTCTTTTGGCTTAGTTGCAATAATAACATGCTGTAATAACAATAACAATAACCGATGGAAAAAAAACATAAAACGATAGAACGGGATATTACGTTAAAAATAATTATAACGCACGGCGCTATGTCATAATCATATTATACTGCTCGCGCACGTAAAAAAATTCATATCCGGTAAAATGAGATATCGGATTTATTATATTTGCACTAGCTGCAATCCAGATATTACTTAACAATCATTGTTAACGCCAAACATTATTCGAATGTATTTCAGTTATTCATTATTTTGTAGATACGTAAAAACACAAATGTGAAAAGTTATATTTTTTTCTCATTTAAACAAATTAACAAAGTCGTTGCTTATTTCGAGCTTATAATTAGACTGACTTTAAATTAATACAATTAACATAACAATCTTCTTATTTTATGTAATCTGTCTTAACACATTTTGACATTCGAATCTTATATGAATCGACACACCATCACTGATAGTTTATAAATATTTCATTATATACGCTGTCTAATAATTAATTCGTTAATTTAATAATGTATTTTTGTTTTATACGCTGAAGAAGGCTTCGTAAGCCAAAACGTTTGTAATTTTATATTTTTTTTTATATTTTATTAATTGTATTTAGATTATTATATAGTATTTACATTGTTATGTTAATTGTATTAATTTAGGTCAGTTAGTCTAATTATAAAATCGAAATAAGCCACGACTTTGTTAATTTGTTTTGAAAATATACGAGCATTTTCACTCTAATTTTCTCATTTAACTCAACTTTGTGTCACTAAAATTTTCTTATACATATATGCAATATTTTACAATAGGATATATATATATATATTTTCTCTTCTCTTTCGATTCACAAAATTAAATAGTATATAAATGTTAATATGTAGGTTATAACGACTCGGAAACCGGCTGCACAATGAATAAGATTAATTTACGTGGATTTAGACCACAATTCAATGCTGAATTCATATATATATATTTAAAAAAGTAAAAATGGAAAAACGAAATCTGTGTAAAAATAATAAAAATGTTAAGATATATCTACTTTAGATATTATTCTACAATAGATTTAATTTAATAACTCAATATCAATTTAACATAAATCGAATATCTGATAAGCTCGAAATAAATTTCAACCAGAAAGTTATAATCATTATTAATTTAATTTTCGATACTAAACATTTTTAGAACTAATGTTAAACTGAAATCCATTTAATAAAGTAAAATTTATTTCATCAAATTAAATAAAGGAAAAGCCTTATCTATTTAGTATAAAATTTCATCGAGAAAAGCCTCATCTTCATATTTTCTTCTATATTTTCGAGCCTTATCTTCATATTATCTTCTATATTTTCAATCGTTAATAATTCGGTAGCTATTTCAAAATGTTGATACAAGAATATTTATAATAACACATTTTTTCTGTTTATTTCGTTGAAAATTGCGGTCAGCAGTAAATTTAGAACTTTTTGAGTTTACAATGGTAAAGCCATAACTCGTGTATTACATTTGGCTCGAAATTCAAAATAAATCTATCTTATATCCACCAAAAATATAGCCTTAGGTCATTCTCACCAAGACACAGAAAGAATGTGGAATTTCAAAATAGTACTTCGACGGTCGAAGAATATAATTTCAATAGTCTACGTTTCAAATGTCAATTCAAATATTCAGATATTTTTCCGGAAAGAAAAAGAAACGAAGAATACGATTTTTTATACCAATTATAAATATTCAATTTAAATATTTCACATATAGGATATAATTGCATTAATCTTTGAAATGCAAAACACAGAATTTTCTCTTGTATAAAGTAATAACAAAAATAAAAGAAGAAAACCAACGTATTGAATATAATTGCATTGATCGAGTGCAAAACTCATGAATTCTCATTCGTAGATAATAGGTTCGCATTGTTTGAAATCCCCAAACACTTTTGCACTTAAACGAAGATAAATATATATTCGAACGTTGAAGCGAGAGAAAGCAAAGATGCCGAATGTAAAAAGTACAAACAACGCGAACAGATCTAAGAGTAATCACAAAAATAAAAGAAAAAAAACAAATTTAAAATTCATAGCTTATCTATTCTCTCTTCTTCTTCCTTTCCCTCATCTCTCGGATATTTTCCATCTACATTTTTGTTTTCTGTAAATCCGTTCGTTGCGCTTAATAGTTCCCTTTATTTTTTTTTCTTTCACTTTTTCGAGAACTATTATAGATCCAGACAGCTTTTCCAATTATAATGCAAAAAAATATTGTAAGAGCGAGCAACTAAAACGACCTCACGTTTGGACTCGAGCCTTGTACACTCGGAATCACGTTCACCGTGCATCATACATACGTATGTAAAATGCGACCCACGATACCGTCGCTTTGCGATAAAGGGAAAGGGACTCACCGAGCGGCGACGGCTCGTTCCGCGTGCCTGCTCGTCATCCTCGAAGAATCCTGGGCCGGTCGTGCTGCGTAGGAAGACTCACGGCGAGCAGATCACTCCATGCCAGGCACCCCGTGCGGTGGCGACGCGCACACCTTCGAAGCAAAAGACGTTTTCTCTCGAGCGGGCTTCGTTCGAGCGGGACGAAACGAAACGCACCCGCTGATCGCACGCGAATTCCGAGCGTCACGTCGCGAGCGTCA